TTGTCCATGCCAATCGTTCCAATTTTCTTATTGGATTTTTGTGACTTTCGAATTAAGTGACCAGGTGAGCAATCATGTGATCTAAAATCGCGGGTTTAAACAGGTAATTTGTTGAATTTTGTCAGCCGTAGGAGAACACCTACGGAGCTCATGGTATTCAAAATAATTTGTTCATCCTTGAAAATAAAAGGTATTTACAAAGATTCTTGGACAAAGACATTCAGTGGAAACTGTTTATAATGCTTAAACCGGAACGTTATTCTCGATTCATAAAACTAAACAAGGTACTGTTGACACATCAACGCGAGGCAGATTTTAGAAGACGTCATTGCCTTATATATTGGAACTTCACCGGGATTCTAAATTAAATATATTTAGAAATTTTTAATGACATGACTTATAATTTTAGATTCCAGGATTAATTTTGGGTTTATGTTCACAAACTATAAGTCCCGTTTCAGATTTTTACTTTTTTCTCCTGGGGAAATGAATTATTTTTGTTAAAATTTACAAAGCTTGTGGTCTTCACTCTCTTCTTTGATGCTTTGTACGAGTCGAGACAGGTAACAGATTCAGTCTAAAAAAACGTAAATAATTTATCACAGGCCCAAACTTAGTGTTGAGATGATTTCCAGTTGTTTTGAATGTCCTGATGTACCACAATCATCAAAGCCAGATTGTCCTGTAATCAATACACTATATATAAATATTTTTATATAGACAGTGAGCAATTTAAAAATTCCTTTAAATGATTTATTTAATACTTCCTCAAATTGTACGTGTACTTAGCTAAAATTGATTTCACAAAGACTGTTATGTAACTAGAAATAATTAATTTTGATGATCACAGACATTTGCAGCAATCTTGAGTACAATAATATGAACATAAAAAAGGCAAGACCGTTTACTCAAATATCAGCATACAATTTATTTATCACTTACAAACAAGAAAAACAACAGGTATATAATATAATTTCCAAGGAGGAAACCAAGTCATTGAACTCAAATACATGGAAACATGTCGTATACAACCGATCGTTATCTAAACATATAATCTATAGTCATAGAGGAAAGTTATTTATGTAATAGTGTTTACTAGTGACCATCACAATCTTTGATCTTGGGGAAAAGTAAAACACAAGACATAGATATACATGACAATACTTAAGTTTAATCAAACTGAATTTCGATACGCAATATTGCTGCTTCCATGATACTCTAGCTTTGCCTAGCAATGCAACGTCATGTAGATGGGATCGTCTGATTACAAAAGATCGGGCGTCTGTTTATAATCTGTGCTTTCAATATGTCAGCATACTAATGGATTTTGTATTTTTGAGCTGAATAGCTCTTATTTTCACAAGTTTACATTTTGATATTTGGCATTTTGAATCCCAAACTGCAATTTTGGATTAACAACATATTGATCAAAAGAAACGTATACACAAGAATGGTACATATGTGATGATGTTGTTGAGGGACCACGTTGAAGGCCTGACAATTGCAAAAATAATGACAGTTTCGATGTCAACTGTGTCAAGCTACTTGATAAAAACTATTCAGAGCTCAAATTACAATAACACATTATTTGAAAGAAGGTATTTATCGAATCGAACAAGATATGATACATTCACGAGGTTGATTCATCTTGAACAAAAACAAAGCGATATCCTGATAGAGTATTAGATTGAATATCAATGGAGGTCAAGAGGGCATGGAACAACTTCACAATAGGATTTAAAAATAAGAAAAGAGTTCTACGATTTTAAACAAAAGTTCAGTATTGTACGCGTGCATCCAAAAATAAAACAAGCTTATCTCATTAAGTGGTAATGCACATAACCGAGATAAAAATCTACAACACGGAAATGGGCACATACTAATTTGTTTGATAACATTAGAACAATAACAGATAAAACAGGTAAATACAAAGGGAACATTGGAGATAAAGTTTATTTTGTCCTAAGATGTATATTGCTTTACGAGTTTCACCTTCTGCTGATTCAAAGGAATAAGGATGAAATTGGAATAAATGTGTAAATTAAAGAAGAGTCTTTTTAGAACAGTTGTATGAATATATCAATGGATGAATGGTTGGTAGTTTTGGACGTGAATATAGATCCCATAAATTAGTCATTATTCATCTGTTTCATTACATTTGGCTGAATACAATTTACCCACTCAAGGATATTCGCAACTAAATGCCATTAGTATAACGTAATCAGAAGTGTCTTAATTTGTATCATTATGAGTACTAAAGATGTCGATGAGGAGTAAATGTTAACGCTTCATCAGCAGGAACAAGTATACACTTAAATCCAGCACATCATGTGTCACATACATACTAAGCAGCGCTAAACCAAAACTCAATTTCCATATAGCAATAAAAACATTCTTCCCAAACATTTGCCGTTGCTAATGTCCTCAAATCGTCTCGTGTGATAGTAGAACGAGATGCTAACAATACAACAGAAACCATTTTTGATAGTATGCTGGTGAAAATCTTTCAACTTATCACACTGAAGAGATGATTTAAATTATTTTTTTCATTCAGTTTTATGTATGTCGCTGTTATTCGGTAATATCAAGTCAGTTGTTTCATTGTTGTACGTGTTCAACTTTGTCGATATTATTCAAATGTATTAATTATACCTTCCAGATAGGAGAGTTCAAACAGTCATGAGTGAATGAACGTCGCAGCAGATGTTATCTTCAAGTCGACACTGTCGTTTCAGCTTGAATAATATTGACTTATACAAGTCCCTACTAAGCGTGGCCTCTTTCACTGGGGGGACTTCTGACTGAGAATGTAACAAGTAGGGTATTATTTGAAATAGTATAGAGACATTTTGCTGGGAGGCCATATAAAATAGAACCCATCCACAGGAGTGACGTGATAATTTAACTTGAGGTAATTTTGACTCTCTCTCTCTCTGTTGTTAGGTTGGTGATGGTGGTTGGGATTGTCTTGACAATCGTATAGATGTCATCCTTCAGTTTTTTGGCTTCTCCTTGCAGTTACATTACCATTTCAAGCTAGTGGCCTATTCCGTTCTAACAGTTCTAATTTGATGATATTCTCTCTCTCTCTCTCTCTCTCTCTCTCTCTCTCTCTCTCTCTCTCTCTCTCTCTCTCTCTCTCTCTCTCTCTCTCTCTCTCTCTCTCTCTCTCTCTCTCTCTCTCTCTCTCTGCCCCGATTACCAGTGCTTGATATCTTCTCTGTCGCCCACGCTTCGGAATTTATGGGCTCAGTATATCAAATTTTACAAATATAACTTCTTTTAGAGATTTGTTCATACTCTATATCTTCGAGGCGTAAAAGAGTGCATATAAAATAAAGACAAAAATGGAACAATTGTGTTAATCGAATGGATCTGAGTCAGAAAAAAAGAATTCGTTTCTTACGTCTTATGAATTCTCCTTGGCCTAACGGTTTAGACGAATACCAACCTTCTTTCAAGATATCTTTTCAGCTTCTTTCGAAATGAGATACTATTTTTGCAACCCTTTCGGAATGAAATACTTACGCTGATGTGTATATGCAAACACTATATGAAGGCGCACGTCGTTCATGCACCTGGAAGGGTCAATGGGACATAAGCTTGAGTCTTTTATTTGGACATCAGATACTGTTATGATAAGCAAATTATGCATTCATGTTTCTAAGCTGCATATCAAATTAAGTGACCTAAATGAACATAAAATACATTTTCTTGACAACCAATAACCATTCCTAGCATATATTGCTAAATAAGACCTGGAGATGACACTTCGTTTATTTAAAGCAGACAATTTTAGTAGTTGTATATTTCTTTTTGCTTCTCCTCTTTTTGTTCGATGTATTGTGTTCGAAGAATAAGCAATATATATATATATATATATATATATATATATATATATATATATATATATATATATATATATATATATATATATATATATATATGTGTGTGTGTGTGTGTGTGTGTGCGTGTGTGTGTGTGTGTGTGTTCTCTAAATTAAGTATATAACTCACGAAGGCCAAAATCAAAATCATGTTACGTTCTTGTCAACATCTATTAATTTGCTTTAGTGAAATCCGAGAACTTGAAAAAAATACACAATTAGTGTTGAACACGTTGTAATTTTTCTCATAATTCCGACAGATTTGGCATTACGGATATTTTATTTGTAACTCTCACGAGAGACACAACATTAATATAACATCTGGTTTCTTTTTATAAAGAAAAATAAAAGTAAAATACTATTTTTTAAGTAAAATAGTTATAGCGGATATCTTACTTGAAACATGCACCATACATTTATTACCAAGCTCATGCCAGTGATGTGAATGTAGTGTGGCGAATCTGCGATTGCTCAAAGTTAAATCGTTAGACTCTAGACCAGGTGGATTTTGGTTTAAATCTTACCACTGGATCTGCCCAGATCATTAGCCGTGGCTAGTCGTTACTCACGGCATATTTAGTCTCAAAATCAAAATCCATTTTTACGTGGAAATGTAAGTTTATGATCGAGAGAGAAGGGACGGCGATGATTCTGTTGATGGATACATAGCATATTGGTGATTTGTATGATGTGTATTTGTCATAAATATTGGCTTGCACTTTTCATACTGTTTTCTTAGTTTCTTGTGTTATTTTTTGTGGAGAGTTTTTATTTGTTGGTTTGTTTTTCCTGTTTGCGTTTTGTGGCAAATTTCAAAATGCTGACATAGTTGTATATATGAGAACCTATGGGCTTTTCTATTTTGTTTTGTGATGTGATGTGATTATGATTTTAAACGTAGCGTTAACAATTTTTCAGTCACATCGCTACGATGTCTGCAGTGTGGCATTTTATGGTGATGTCTAGCACTGGGGCATCATGCCGCAGACATGTAGCATGATGTCCCATCCAGTCACATTATCCTAACAGTAGGCCTACCAGTCCTAAAACTAACCTCTTAATGCTGAGCGTCAAGCGAGGCACCTGTTAGCACCATTTTTGTAAGTCTTTGGTATAACACGACTGGGAATCGAACCCACGACCTACCGCATCAGAGGCGGGCGCACTAACCACTAGGTCACCGGAGTGCTATTTTGTTTTGTTTTCCAGTTTAAGTGTATATATAAGAAACGACCATGGGTGGTTGCTTTAGAAACAAAATAGGTGTAATCTGGTTCAATTAAAATAGGTTATTCACAAATCCGCTTACAGAGCTAGTCGTGTTTATTCCGTTAAAAATTTAGAAATCACAACCTCATATAAATAGTAAATAATTCTAATCTTAAAAGCCAAAAAGAGCGTCATCATTTCACTTAATAAATTGTTCAACAAAATGACACAAGATAGATATATAAAAAGAAATACACACAAACGTATGTATGTATGCATGTATGTATGTATGTATGTATGTATGTATGTATGTATGTATGTATGTATGTATGTATGTATGTATGTATGTATGTATGTATGTATGTATGTATGTATGTATGTATGTATGTATGTATGTATGTATGTATGTATGTATATATATATACATATATAAAATAATTAATATATATATATATATAAATATATAAATATATATAAATATATATATATATATATATATATATATATATATATATATATATATATATATATATATATATATATATATAGGTAGATATGAGGTTTGATATATAGATTAACTTATGTTATAAAATTGAAATGCGGTTTCAAATCATGTGAGCTAACGGATGCATTTGGTTTAAGAAATACCCACATTTTTCTGTTTAAAAGGATATACTGGACGTAAATCTCATATGTCCTTTGATTAAATTGCAAATTAGAATCTCAATGTCTTTAAATTAGAAAACAAAATTATATGCATGAAGACATTTGGTTTGTTTCACTAGTAAGAATTAAGTACGAAGAAAATGTTATGTCTTGCTTTTGTTTTGTTTATACAAATGAAATATCGATCTTAAATTCTGGTTTCCAAAAATGACCCGTTTTCTTAAAATATGTTGTCCACAAATGACATGTCCAGCTAGACCTCAGGTCAAACATTGTTTGAGTTGTGATACTTTATTTTAAGGTAATTTAGATTCTGCCGTTTCTCTACTGAATCATGACAAGGAGACACCGTGCAGTTGTGAGGTGTACACGCAATTTTGAAGTTGTGATATTTGGGGTCATTCATAAATTAGACGAAAACATTTATAGTCTTGACGAGTTGTTGGTAGTTCCAATAGACAACGGTGGTTGTCGATAAGTCCTTTGAAATAAGATGAAAAACAGGTGAGTTCTATCAGAATTCACGAGTGTTGGATTCTCTCGGAAATAAGAACCATTGGTGTATAACAATATAATGAGTTGTACAACTGCTTATAAACAGTATAATCATCGCCAAGAGATTTTCAGCAACAAATCAACATCTTAGAAATGAAAAGGTTGTGATATCTCCAGCACCAAATTGTGACTGGATCGTCTTGCAAATGATTCGAGCTACTTAACAAGAAGTAAATGTTCGTCTTTAAGTAAAATTAAAACTTATATATTTCACGACGTCATTTATGGGCAGTTGAAACAATTATGTATACTGTTTTTTCCTGCATGAATTGTTTGGTTCATAAAAAAATACCCACTTGAATTATCTTGGAAAGTAAGCACCTTCATCAACCTAATTTTGAGAGCTATACATATGTCAACCCAGATCCAAAACTTTGGGTTATATACCGCTAAAAGTAGGATGTTGATAAGTGCAATGCGATTGACAAGGAACACATAATAAACGCCCAATGCAACGTCAGTAAAGCATCCATATCGTCAAATATTAGCTGTGGTTGTCAAGGTTTCTCATTTCCAATTCGGAGCCACTCTGAAATAAAGACAGTGTTATACGTTGAATCATGAACGAAGACATTATCAGATGAAATGTAAAGTACATCAGTATATTACATGAGATGTGATAAGTTTAACTTTGTCATAACATATGTGCTAGGACCACCTGTTTCACAGGCACACGTTCACATTCTCAATCCAGTTGCCAACATCATACACCTTCTAAATTATGCATTCTAAGCAAATACTTTTCTAACTTTTATCTACACTATATTATTTTCTGATTGAGCATGTCCCATCTTTATGACTGTTTCAATTTCTGAGATTAAAACGACTGCGTTCCCTGAATGTGTAGTGAAGATGTGCACATGTTCTGCATTTCAGTAACTAGAGAACTTGCTGTAATATTAAGTTTTTAAGTAGTGCATATTGACACCTTAGGATATATAGTAATTTGCACTTTCTTTAGCTGAAAATCAAGTATCACGGAAGGTAACTACATCTACTATCACGTGCCAATGAAAGTATATGCCATAATTGTAGATGTATTTTATTTGAGTGAGCCATTTCTTTCAACCTTATTAGAAAATATTCGATTAATTAACACCGTGAATAAAATTCTATCAATATAGAAATCTTCCCGTTAGACTGTTGTAAGGAAATGGCCAGGATGATAGCCCAAACTGACCTTGCTATTTATTGCATTGTAAAATGGACCTGGGGGCACCTGGCTTACAGTCTCGGCTGTTGTGTATGTTGTTGAAGCACCACGCCCTGCTGACCGGATACTGCCGCCCCTCATTAATCGGTGCTGCTTCCATTTTCTTTTCATAATGGAAAGGACCTAGGAAACACAGTTCTAGTTAGTGTACGTCATGTATCCTTATCAAATTGTCAACAAAACGGTGTGCAGAAGATTTGCTTTTATGCTAAATTTTGTGGAAATAAGATCTAATTTTTAGAAAAAAATGTAATCGATATTTGTTTAGTTTTATTGGGTCTTTAATATTGTACTGTCACAAGAGAAAGCAGTTACTTATTCAGGATAATTAAACACCAAATTTTTCATTTTTTTTTCAAAAGATTGCTGATAATGGAAATGTGATTAAAGCAGAATCTATTACCAGAAGAACACATTTTATTTTAACTTTAATGCAATCAAATTCTGATTCTGTATATGAAAGACAAATAAGCGTTATAGGTTAATGAATATTGAACTTACCTCGCCATTGCAAAAACAGTATATCAAGGAAACGAGTGCGCCCTGTAAAATATCAAAACATTTTCTTTGTCTCTAATACTGTCTCTTGGTATATATTATATATAAACGAGTCAGATTCGGCTAAGCAACGGGTTGCGGAAGTTAGGCCGAGATGTATATATGTACATCGTACATCATATCTAAGGAAATTTTTTCCCTTAAACTCATAAAAAATACTTTATGGTTTTGCGATCCCCATTTTATTTGCAGAAGTGTCTATTTATTTTAATTGTATGTCTTTAAAAAACTGAGATTAGTTAAGATATTTGGAGATCTACGAAAGATAAAGTCCAGGCAACTGAAAAGAACAAATGGCACACACAAAAAAATGTGTATTTATATCATTTATCTGACTGCATCGGTGAAAGGGAGATTTAATCTTTTAGCTGTTAAGGTTTAGAATTCTTTGTGTGAAGAAGATCGATGTATGTGAATTTCACTAACAGGTGAGGAGATATTTCTTTTAAGCGGAACCCATTTATTGTGCTCTTCTTGCTTATTACACAAATTCCTAGCAAATATCATGGCTCCTTTAATAGACTGAAACTAATATAAAAAATGCAGTTATGCGGAAATAAAGAAAGCTGGTTAATTTACAATACTTTCAAACAGACTCTTATTCAATGCTCTAAATTATTCATGCATTTCAATCTAAGATAACAGTTTATGGTTTTCCTTGGCAAAGACATCTTTTTAACACGAAGACTCGGTTTATATTCATCGTCTTGATATTTTTTTTAAACATGTGTACTTTATTCTTTCATTCTTTTTTACTTGAAAAGGTACCAGAATGTAAAATATAGTCTGTTAAACCAGCTTACATGTACCTCAGTGATGCAAAATATCCCATCAACATTGTCACAAGAAGTAGTTCTTCTATCAATCAAAGTCAGTGGCACTATTACCCTCAACGATGTTTTACGTATATGTTGCTAATGCTTACAACATTCGTCCTCAGATTTACTAAACACATTAGAATCTCCAGTAGTATTCAAAGACAAATTCAAAGATTATCCAATTTTACTTATTTCATAAACAATTTCGCAGACCATAATTTAATAGACCGAATTTTGAAGTTTTTTTCAAGCTGGTATTTTAAGATGATTTACGTTGAGAAATATGTCTTCCCTAAGTGCCATCATTTCTATATGAAAAATCACATATTTGTTGATGTTCTTCAACAGAAAAGATTTACATTTTCATGTCCTGATTACTGAACATCTGCAGTGAGATCAGCACTTTCATGGAAAATTGTCGTACTTATATATTATTAACGATCACTGAAGTTCTTCTCTCGCCTGAGATTATCCCCTTGAGTCCCTAGTTTTAAAACGTAGTTTTCATTATAAATGTCAACTTATTTTCGACTATAGACTGGTAGTTAAATTGTAGACTGTCAGCAGTTTTATGATGATAAATTCTATAATATTAAGGTAGTTCAGAGATGTTTATGCATGAAGGTCATGACTAGCATAAATTTGTAATCATAAACTGTGCGGATCTCTGGGCATTCCTCAGCTGGGAATTGATTCGGATTATAATGTCGTAGATGACCAATTTTACCGTTTCTCGTTTTCTTGGGTGTTCTTTTTTAAGTAATTCTAAATATTTCACCCCATTTTAATTACATTTTTGTGTAATATCATCTTTAACTATTCTATAGTCTTGAATTAATTAACATTAACAGAACAAGTTAAAATAACATATTTTCTACAATTCAAAAAGTTGCTTTGCCCACAAGAAAAAGTGAAACTTTCAGTAGAAGTATATGATTTAAGTCCCAAATAATCATAAAACGTCAATCACAAATAAAAAAGTATAGACTATTCTGATTGAATTCCAGAACTTTGTAGTTTGAATGAATAATTTAAATCAATAAATCTTCTGAAATCTTAACGATAACATCTAAAAATGATTTTTCTAAAGACTGATATTAAGATAGGAATGGGTCAATCTTAAATAAAGAAAATTGCTATAAAAGCTAGACATAATAACAGAACAAGGATG